TCTAGGAGGGTCCGGGGTCCGGAAGGGGTTCCTGAATCCCTGAATCTAGGGTCCCTGAATTGCGATTTCATGCATTTTGGGGGTGAAATCTAGCAGAATTCCGAAGATTATAAAGTACATCGAAGACATGAATTTTTCCAGACATTTCTACTTGGAATTAAATAAATTGGAAAAGTCACCTTGAAAAATAGGAGGAGGGGTCAGTGTCACCTTATTTCCTCTCTGTGATGCTGGGGGGGAGGGGGGATCCCAATGTGATTTTGATCAGAAATGTTGCATTTAAATCATTTTAGGTTCTATGATTCACCATTTCCGCATTCTCAAAATTGCGTTGCTTTATACAGAATAAGTCTGAGAAGAAATATTCATACTATGATGATACATACATGTATTTAACTAACAGTTAAAAATCTAAACTAAATCTATTGTTCTTGGAACCATATCTACAACTGCTTTAACGAGATTTCACAAATCATGTTCCTCCAGTATATCGTCTTTTTCCTCAGTCAAGACGAATTTAACCATTTTTAGCTTCGAGCACTGTATGATTCAGCTTAACACCCAGGGCTGATTTACTTCAGATTCATTAATGAATATTGCGCAACTAAATTATAACCACTTGATTTCATCATTTAAATTTTAAGTAATCATGAGCCACTTACCCACACATCGGGACCGAATTTCAGCTCTGACCTCTGATGCTAATTGCCTAAGATTGTATTTACAAGGTTTTAAAATGCTGATTATGCCATCATTATTTTCTCGGGACTGCGATTTTATGTATGTTTATGAAATCTCAGTCAATGAATTATGTACATGCAGTCCTTGAAACTCAGGTCGGCATTCGGCAATGGCCAATGCCGACCTAAACGCCGACCTGCAAAGCGATATGTGTAGATTTAAGTCGGCAAAATTTTGCCGACCTACTTTCAAATACGTCTCGGCATTTTTTCCGCGAATGCATCTTTTGAAAAGTAAATTAACATATACGTGTTAAAATCGTCGAGAGTCAAGATTTAAGCGAAAGTTTATGGTAATAAAGTAGTGTATGGTCTGTCACAACATTTGGTCACAACATGCACTGTTTGATTGGAGTTCATACATTTTGTTAGTTGTTTTATTTGCTATTGGCATTGATGGTAATTAATTGCTGTTTATAAAAACGCGTATTTGCAGCAAGCAAATTAAATTTTCATCTGGATATTGTCTATTTGTTTTGAAAATATTTGCCGACATAGATTGAGAATTATCGAATTATTAGTTTCAAAGGACATGATGGAGTTGCTCTCTCTAATTTCGGTTGGTAAAGAATTCCAAATGTGTGCCCTGTCAAACATGAAACTTTTTTCAAGCTATTTGTACGCGGATGTGGTAAGCAAAGAGTACTTTCAACATCTCGAAGTTTATAATTTGTCATTTCACTTTTGAAAGTAAATAAATCAGTAAGTGATTTATAGGACCCATGTTATTCAACAATTTAAACATCAGTTTGGACTTAGCCTTTATTCTTTTCTACATCATTGCTCATATTCATTATGTTTCGAGCAGCTCTGTTTTGGAGCTTTTGGAGGCGTTTTGATTGTGTTTCACCAAACACATCCCATACTTCACAGCAATATGTAAAGTATGGGCGAATTATAGGACAGAGACAAGTGTATCTTTCTCAACAAATTCTTTTATTTGACGAAGAGCTGATATCCCGGATGTTATTTTCTTGCAAATGTTTTCAGTATTATTCTTCCAAGACAAATGCTGGTCAACAGTCACTCCAAGAGTTTTGCAATCATATATACTTGATTAATTGGTTTGTTTTCTATGATAACGTTTGGTTGTTTATTTGAGATACTTTTTATCGTTGGTTTAGATCCAATTAATATAAATTCAGTTTTGGCCACATTTAAACTTAGTTTATTGGCAATTAACCATTTCCTAAGGTTTTCTAAATCAGAATTCATTGCAGCTTCAACATCATTTATAGATTCTCCCGCAGCTGTTAGGTTTGTATCATCAGCAAACAGTCGAGGTTTTGTTTTGCTTAGACACTGAGGCAAGTCATTAATATATAATAAAAAGAATAATGGCCCTAAAATAGAGCCTTGTGGCACGCCACACTTAATCAACCGCTCCGATGAAATAGTTCCATTAACTTGGCATTTCTGAGTGCGATTTATCAAGTACGATTTTAGTAGAGCCAAAGCATCTCCTTTTACGCCATAAATTTCGAGTTTTTTTAGTAAAATCTGGTGGTCGACAGTATCAAATGCCTTTTTTAAGTCAATTAGTACAACCAAGTTAAATAATTTTTTGTCAATATTCATATACCAACTATTAGTACAGTCTAGTAACGCTGTAGCAGTTGAGTGAGATTTGCGAAAGCCAAATTGACAATCATTAAGTAGCTGAAATTTCGTCAAATAATCATATAGTTGGTCATATAAAATTCTTTCCATAACTTTGCTAACAGCTGGCAAAACAGAAATTGGTCGGTAGTTACCAGGCAAATTTTTTTGGCCATTTTTATAAAGAGGTGATACTCTTGCCATTTTCCATTCATCGGGAAAAGTGCATAGTGTAATAGCCTGATTAAAAATATAAGTTAATGAACTGGAGATAGCAGGTGCTGCTAGTTTTAAAATTTTACTTGAAATTTTGTCAATGCCAGTGGCTTTTGCACTAGAGAGGCCACGTAGGAGATAATAAACTTTGTTGGTGGTAATTGACTCAAATACAGTGAATTCTGATTTAGGTTTCTTAATATACTCTTGAAAATTGTAATTCGAAGTATCAATTTTGCTAGCTAAGTCAGGCCCAATATTTGAAAAGAATTCGTTAAAGCCCTCTGCAATGTCTTCTGAATTTGTTAAATTATTTCCACTTATACTTAACTCATTTACTTTTGTTGGTTTGTTTTGTCTGCCTAGTAAGTTGTTTATTGTTTTCCAAGCCTCCTTTGGATTTTGTTTTTGACCAGCAATTCTCTTGGAGTAATAATCCTTTTTGGCTTTTTTCATTTCTATATTTACTTTATTTCTGGTTTGTTTATACAATAACCAATCTGCTTCAAGGTTTTTAACAATGGCTTTTCTCTTAGATCTATCCCTCTTATTTATAAGCTTTTTGATTTCACTATAGTAATCCAAGGGACTTTTTTTATCTAATCTTTTTTTGTTGAATGGGTGCATGCTTATTTAGTACTTTCTCGAACAATTTCTTCCAAATCTCCCCCATAGTGTTGGGATTATCAGCGAAGAAGTATACATATTCCCAATGCTGATTAAGTAAATCTTCAACAAATTTTTTGTCATCAAAGTTTTTCATATTTCTAATTTCCACTATGTTTTCATCTTGTTTCTTAGAAATATGGATTTTTCTGACGGTAAATACCAAACTATGATCACTGATTCCTGTATGAATGACACCAGAATCTGAGATTTTCTTTGGTGTATTAGTAACTATATGATCAATGAGGCTGGAGGTTGTCATGGTTACCCGAGTAGCTTCCTTAATTAATTGTGACAATTGATATAGTTCATACAGTGATTTTATTTTCTTGGTACCAGTATAGGATTCTGTTTTAAGCATGTCACAATTTAAATCACCAAGAATATATATACATTTCTTTATTTTCACATCAATCGCTTTGATTAATTTTTCAAAATTTTCAAAAAAATCATGTGATGAATTTGGTGGTCGATAAATAGTTGTAACCAAAAATGGCCGACTATGTGGCTTACTAATTTCTACACAAACAGCCTCCAATTCAGAGGGAATAAGATCACTTCTTATTTTATAGTTGATTGAGCTACGTAAGTATATACAAACTCCACCCCCATTTCTTGATCTGTCTTTTCTAACATTTCTTGATCTGTCTTTTCATCAAAGTCAATCATATTGTCGGAAACATTTGAATCAAGTCGGATCTCATTAAAACCAATCAGGTCAATGTGTTTGTTGGACATTGAGTAACGTATTTCATCAACCTTTTTTGGCAAACTGACAATATTTAGGAAAGCCATCTTAAAATCTCTTTCATTGGGAATAGAATTAAGGCTAGTGAAAAATCGCTACCCACATTTTCATTTGACGGATCTATATTAATTATTTTCTCAGTTAAATATTCCATTTTACTTTAATAACGAATGGAGGATAAATTATCGGATTTGATCAAGGAAACTATACAGGGTGTATTAGAAAAAAGTACACAGTTGGAAAAAGTTCACTAAAGTCAGATGCGCGATAAAATTTAAATAATGAAATCAAGTGGTTATAATTTAGTTGCGAAATTTGCGAAAACTTTCAGTAAGCCTATGGCTATGTATTTTAACGTTCTCTGGTAGCGTTTTTAGAGCAGGAAAGCTGTTAAGTTTGAAATCATGCAAAGAAATCGCGTTTGAACTAAGAAAATGGGAGAAAATCCAGGTTTTGAAGACCATGCAGGTTTTGAAGAAGTTTTGCTTGTATTTTTCAGGAAATTGAATCTCTCTCCAAAAAGGAAAAAACGAAAAACACCTTCCAAAATCTGAGAATTTCATTGCAAATTTCAACCTTGCATACTTCATAGCCTATCGAAGGAAAGATGCTTTTTTATTAGAATAACAATATAACTCATTATCTATGTTGGTCAACGTTTATTCATACATCTGGTCCTTCACAGTCACGTGTGTATTGTATTCTTGCCCAACTAACCAACAGCAATGTTTCAGGAAAGTCACCTATCCGTGACTCGAACAATAGGGAAACTGGAAATTGCTATTGGTGGATTTGGTAAAAATACAATACACACGTGACGGTGAAACGACCAGATTTATGAATAAACGTTGACCAACATAGATAATGAGTTATATTGTTATTCTAATGAGTTTCATAGCCATCTTCCCTTCGATAGGCTATGCATACTCGAGGCAACGTTAGCTGTGAGTTTTCTCCAATATCCATGTGTCGTTAAACGTGGGTTTTAATTTTATTCTTTGTCACAGCAAGGCGGTGTGGGTATGACAGGGAACCTGGTGGATAATGAAGATTACCCTAGACAAGATATTGATGTTTACGCTGTGCGTTTTGCCAGGAATCGAATAATATGTAAGTTGTTAATGCCTTTGAAACTCTTACATTGCTGTTCCTGTATGCCATTACGTGCTTTCGGAAGCAATATGATACATTGTATCAAAAACTTACATGTGTGTTCATCCTTGTGCCAAGATTGATGATAAGCTGACCTATCAAATATGGCTGTTTCAAACTCGGACCCAGTTTGAGAAGTATCATACAATAAGCTTGCATCGTTTTTCTCCCAAATGCGTGAAGGCATATATGTATAAACACACTTCTTCGATGATTACATTACTTTCCTCCCGTCTTCAAGCCTTCACTTTAAACATTTGAAAATCCAATCTATTAGAACCCAAATCTTGATATCTGTCCAAAATCTTGATATCTGTTTTTAGGCTTACAAAATGACCACAAAACCCTTATGGCTGAAATTGAAGAAGGACTTCATATTGTTCATGCCGCTGCTCGAGCAAAAAAGGAATTGGGTAATTCTTCTCAGTTAGTAAGTGCAGGTAATAACTAAAAATAGGTACGTAAGCGTACATGTATTTGCTCATGCGTATTTGTATTTGTTTTTGAAGACTTTTTGTTGTAGTTTTGTTGACTATCTGCATAGCCAATGGCCACGGCGAGGGTGATAATCTCCGAGGGGCATTATTACCATACACGCGATTACGTCGTGGTGTCGGGTGACTTCAGAGCCACGGTTTGACAAAACTGTCGTGTTTAATTAAAGTATAAAAGGCTTGAAGAAAAAAGTTATGATTGCTGACATCCCAGAAGTTTTGAACCTGCGTTCTCTAATATTTTTCATATCAATATTGGAGATTACAGTGCTTCTGCCTTCTCCTGACTTTGTCAAAATATTTTCAGGACAAGGTGAAGAATCATCACCATCATTTTTACGCGTTAACCAGATATCACCACGGTCACCAGCTGAACAAGCAGTAAGTGAATTTCCTCGGAAACAATATTTTGTTAAGTACCTCACACTATAGCTGTGGCTTAACGATTATTTGTATATGTATATTATAGGGTCTTCAAGTGGGAGATGAAATTGTCAGGTTTGGTTCTATAAATTCTGGAAATTTTCAAAATATGCAAGCCGTTGCAAGCGTTGTCCAACATTCTAAAGGGGTAAGATTCCGCTTACTTAACTAATAAATAGAATAAAAACTATGCACTCTATTCTTAACGGGCTCGCTGCATGTGTTCGGCCGACACCTCACTATATCGTTGTATTAATTCAAAAACCATATTCCACTTGAGTGTGCATGTATAAGCCCACATGCTCAATTTTGTGGGTGCGTCGGGCATTTCCGATCCACAGAGAGCGTAGATTGATAGGAATACAACTACTTGAAAAATACAAGGAGAACGTCGACGTTTCGAGGGGGTTGTTAGTAGCAGGGATCGGGAAAATTACATGATCTTTTATACTAGTGAATATAAAAGCGATCACGTGACAAAAATAAACCAATTACTTTTCAGGTAGTTGTATCCCTATCAATCCGCAGCTTTCTTATTATGGGCACTACCTACACTGACCGTTCAAGATTCCCAATCCATCTACTGCCGCAGCTCCAATTAGTCTTATCACAATTTTTTGTCGTAGCAATCAATCACTGTTATCATAAGAAGAGGCGATAATACTCAGCGTCTGAATTTGATTCCTAATGAGTGGCCTGGTAGAGGATTACTGGGGTAAGTACATGCATGCATGCTTTTTTAGGCCAACACTTCAACTACGTATAGTACAATATAATTATACGAAGAATTCTAGCTGTAACTTAAAATGGACTCATACTCTTTTAACAGGTGAGGGAAAATAATTTTAATCCAATAATCCATTTATATCCATGTAATATTTAAACAATAAGACATTTAATCCATTTAATCCATGCAATATTTAAACAACTAGACATGGTACTACAGTGCGGTGCCCTGGAGCATGCACAAAACATGTGCATCACAAGTGCGAAGACGTACTATGTACATGAATAAATACCAAAGCTTAGAACAAATCAACAAGCTATCAAACTAACAAACTCACGCAGCGAATATAAAGCGATGCCTAACTTCGTTTCGGCACCGCAATTAGTTAAAAATTTATTTAAGATAAAAATACGAGTTATATATATTAATGACATGTACAAGGAAAACTTATATAATCTTTATTTATTGTTTTCTTTATTAATGACTCATCGAAGATTTACAAAGAAAACTGAATAACGCTATATTTGCAATAGTAAAAATAGTTATAGATACACAATATGACGTCATAATGTGGGAAGAACAAAAAAGTGACCCACTCGCCTCGGTGGCTCGTGAGGGACATTCTGTTCTTCCCACATTATGACGTCATACTGTGTATCAGTACAGTATCTATAGACCCATTGCACACGACGTCACAGCGCCTGTGATGATGCATCTGGAGGACAAATTAGCAATCTATGCATAATACAACTTTTGTAAACAAAGCAAATTTTGTAAAACTTTATAATAATTTTGTATTAGAATGGTTAATTTTTCGCTGTATGTGGTTTTTGTACCCGAACAGATATTGTTAGGGAGCATCTGGAGGACACTCTAAGGATTTGTGACGTCAGTGCAATTGGTCTATAACTGAACAGACAACGGCAAAATCTTATCTACTCGTTAAATATATTCGGTATACATCTGCCTTAATAAATAAAGAGCTAATTGGGGAAAAGCTTTATTTACCAGGCTTCAGCTGACTGCAGGAATGCCTTACCAGAGAGTGCTAGGGACTATAAATTGGTTTAACAATACGATACCAATCGAAGACTAATCGTTTTAAATTAAACAATTTTTAACGAAGTTTCTAATTAGCCTATTTTATATATTCTTGTTACTTGTATTTTATTGTTCTATAATCCTTTTATGAACAGAAAACGGCAAAATCGTTATATAATAAAAAGAAAAACCCCGTATTAATCAGGTAAATAGCTTACCTTTTATCCACCCAAACATTTCGAAATTTGAAAAAGTCGAAATTTTACAAATATCACGCGTACATGATCATCTATACAAATAGGGGAATGCTATTGGCTACCTTAAGTCACTTGCTGTGTTGTGATTGGCTGCACAGAACAAAGAGTTTTGTGTGACGTAATTCCGTGCGTCTGTCCTCTGCGTCAATAGATCATGGCTCTCGACCAATGAAAGCGCTTGAATTCTTAACGTTATTATATAAATACTATTAATGATGAAACTAAAACATAATCCCTGGCTATTTTTCCCTATCTTTATCTCTAGATGCAACATCGTCCCACTATAAATAATAGCAGATGAAGGTGATCTGGATGTTAAGGATATGTTTTTACATGATATTGTAAAAATATACAGGTGTATTGATCAGGAACGAGTCTCCTGCGCATACCTTGCTTAACGGTTCCATCAGCGCTACTATAAGGTATGCTTACTTTGGCCATGAATTTGCCTCCCCATTAATTTGCAGTAACAGCCCGTATCCTCAAAAAGTGTGGGCTTGACATTTGACCTTGAGCTGGCAATAGTGACAAGTGAATCTGCATGCTCATACGGCAGCACTTCACCTTGTGATAGTAACTCCTAGTATGTACTGTAGACGTCACATGGGAAATGAAATTCTGCCCGTTGCTTTCATTGCGCATGTGACGTCATACTTACTAAATGCCAGCCCAAAATTGACCAAACCAGGCTGCCTGTATATACTGTATTGGCGTGTTTTCGACCAAATCGAAAACAAGTCCTACTTTGGTCGAAGCGTTTAAGGGGGCTCCCTGCAGTTACCCACGTGAGAAGTGCGTGGCCTAAATGAGTTGTAACATGCGCGTGGAATACTCGTGTTATAAACATTGCGTAATAAAAGCACATTAAAATATTATTAAAATATCATTAAAAAACAAAAATTGATTGCTTGTCTTAAAGTGTTAAAAATTGAATTCTACTTACACGAAAACAATTATATATATTAAAACTAGTCGTTTACGAAAGTATGTTCCTCACAAATCTCGCGTCAAAGTTTGGGGCTTCAGGCGATCTTTTTAGGACATTATACTCATTAGCTTACCGACTTTCAAGTAGAAGAAACTTTCCAATGAACGATGAAAAATTCAGAAAAAAGAATACAAACATCAACAAGAAGACATGGAAAGTTTACCAAAAAGGGTACAGGCGTAAATTCATCTTGTCAAGTAAAAAGAAGGAAGGAAGGGAGAAGCGAAAATCAAACAGTTTTTCATGGATTGAAACAGAAGGAACAAAACGGCAATTTGTATGTAACATTTTTATTACATTTTGTCATATGTACTGCAAAAATATAAATATTAAATAATGAAATGAATAAAGAAACAATAAAATTGTATATTAAAGAGAGAATTCTTGAACTATTTATTGCAGTTAGGTGGCAAAAATACACAAAAACCATCGGGTTCAAGAGTCATTGCACGGCATGGATGTCATAACAAATGAACTGAAATATGTAATTTGTGCGGAAAAGGTATTGAATCGTCGTCTATAGAACGAGTTTTAATTAAAAAAAACTATTTACATAAATCTCAATATCAAATGCCAGATCATGCAGTTGCCTGGCCTCACTTTCCCTGAAAAAGGTATATGTTTTGACCTATTATTATTAATAATTATTGAACGAAAGCTATCTTTCTAGGCTCTTTATCCGTGACAAATATAAAGGGGGAAGAAAATATGGTTCTACATATTTATTGTGATAAATGCACTGCAAAAAAATTATGTGTAACTTTACACAAGATTTTGCGTAAAATCTTCCTTTCAACTCAATTTTTTGTGTAAATTTAACACAAAAATAGGAGTAAATTCTTTAAAGTTAACACGAAATACTTGGTAAATAGATCATTTACACAACATTTTGAGTAAATATTTACTCATGAATTTGAGTAAATTCACACACACGTTGAGTTAATTTTTTACTCAGCACATAATATTGTGTAAACATGAAAAGCGCGTAATTTTATGAATATGAATGTGTTGCTGTGGATGAAAATTTTACTCACGTTTTTGTGTAAAATTTACACATAATTTTTTGCAGTGTGTGGTTACTATTGCATATCGATGACGTGAATACATCTCAAACGCGCCCTAAAGCAGACACTCGTGACCCTTTGGCATTTGACATGCAGCAACACCAGGGCAGTTTTGGCTACCTTGAATACAGGGATTGGTGAATCACACCTGGGAAAAATCCAATCAAAAGTCATATAGCTGCGAGCAGGCCAAATCCTATATCAACCCTTGACATACTACCATGCACTTAGTCGGGGTACATTTAAAACGCGAGAAAGAGACATTAGAAGGGCAGTTGCAAAACAGAGTTATTTAGAAGGGCAGTTGCAAAACGGAAACTTGCTATAGAGAATGGCAACATTGACGATACCAATGGTCTTGTCGACATTATAAACTTATTAGCCTCCTCCACAGGCCTCTCCATGGGTTCTACCTGCGAATGGGTTTTATACGAAACGTGGTTGCGCGTTTAATTCATCAACTGGTCATGGAGTAGTAATGAGCTTGAACGTTTTGGAAAGGCGTTTATAGAAACGTCGTCCTTGTGAACACAGCAAAAGACAATCAAAATCACCAATCAGACATGACTGACGATTATTAAAGATGCTCCACAAGACCAGCTGAAATTTTCAAGCTATGTTGAGGATGATTACAGTACAACACTTGCTGAGTGTGAAACAAACTCCATATGCATTGCTGCAGAATTTATTGGACATCATACACATTACGATCACGCCATTACAGGGAAAGGATATGAGGACCTGGCAATACTTAAGGATGTTGATTTGGTTTAAGGCAGAATCTGACTGTTCTCAAAGATTGGGGAGCACTGATTGGCGACAATCTTAAGCCGTCCAAAGCCCTCACAACCTAACTTTGGTCAAAATAACCGTTACAACCTTTTGATTTTCGATAGTGAAACAACAACTATTGGAAAATCAGCTGAAATTATACAAATTGCTAAAATTAAAATTACAAACTAAAATTACTGATAAATGCATGCTGCTTCATGCAACTATCTATGGCATAAGTTCAATTCTAAATGTGGAGTCGATGCTGTTCAAGAATGAGAAACAACCACTTAAGCAACTCAAGCAGAATGCCTACAGAATTTTATAACTTTTATTGAAACAACTCAAGAAAATGTGTAAACAAAAACAAACAAATCTTCTATAGCAACACTTCTACACTTCGCTCTGCAGCTCCGACGTTTTCTGAAAGACTAAAATGGCTCGGGATTATTTCTGCAGATAACCTGGTCCTTGTAAAACAGCTCATATAAATTATATCGTCTAATATGGATTCCCCACTCCTTAGCAAGTTACCTGATAACAAGTTAGGCACGTTATTGTGAGAGTTACTGACCCTACCTCCAAGTTTATTTTTACTTCCGGTGCCTTGCACCGGATATAGGATGGTGTCACGTGACGTCAAACTGTGAACACGTTCAGAAGTGCGAAGGAAAATTGTAAATAAAAATACTAGTTTACCCACAGGGTAGTGAATGCTGAATTTATCGTTGTTTTCTTTAATCGTTTGATCATTTAACATTGGTAACATTTTGGCGATCCTGCCAGGACGCCACTCGGGTTGTTTCACGCCGAATTGTGGCGTTCAAGAGCGGAAAATTCCTGATTTGGGCTTTGATGATGGGCTTTTTTTGCGAGAGGTAAACTTAAAATTTAATGTGATTTGTCGTTTAACTGGAGAGTAAAGACGTAATATTTCCATTGCTGTACGTTTGGCAAGAAAGTAAGTGTTGTTTTCTTACGATTTGAACGATTTCCGTGCGGTAAAAGAACATTTTTGACAGATATTTCGAAGCGTTTGTTGTTCCGTGTATTAATATTTAATAAAGTTCGAAGACGAAGTGTCATGACCGGCGCCGAACAGTCAGAGATAGAGGAGCTTCAGTTGGCTCTAGAGTCTGCAATATGCGGACTGACTAAAGAGGAACTTATTAAAGTTGCAAAACATGTTAATGTTAATACCGAAGGACTTCGAAAACTCCAAATTTCGAAAAGAGTACGAGAGAAAGTCGAGGTGGACATCGAAAAATCAGAGCCCAGAGGATAAAAAGATTTTACTGGAAGAATTAAACAATGTAGTTGGTCTGGAACCACCACCGTTAGAGAATCCAGAGGATAATACTGTAAATCAAGTTGAAAACGAGGGACAACAGGACGAAGCTCAAGAAACTCAGCCTGAGCCTAAAGCAAAGGAGGCTGAAACTTAAGTTAGTGTGGACATAGCCAAAGCATTTAAACGTGACTTTAAAATTTTTGAAACCATCAGTGGTGAAAGCCACAAAGATGGATTGTCCTTTGTCAGTCTTGTTCGACAAATTGACACTGGCATAAAATCTGGGTACAAGGAAACTGAAATAATTGAAGCAGTGATACGTGCAGTGAGCCCTAGTTTAAAATTGCGCTCATACCTAGAAATGATGAGTGGGTTGTCCTTGTCCCATTTGAAGCATATTTTAAGGGCACATTTCAAGGAAAAGTCTGCAACAGAAATTTACCAGGAACTTGTACAATTGTGCCAAGGTCCCAAAGAATCTGCCCAAGATTTCCTGATCAGAGCAATGAACTTACGCCAACAGGTCATATTCTCATCACAAACAGTAGATAGCACTGTAAAGTATGAATCATCACTGGTTCAATCATTGTTCATTCATGTTGTCGAGACTGGGTTGCAACAATAATCCATCCGAGCCAAACTACACCCCGTCCTTGAGAAACCAAGTGTCAATGATGAGGAACTGATGGACAGAGTCAATCTAGCTGTTTCGGCTGAGTCAGAACGACAAAATAAAATGGGAGTGTTGGTTAAAAAGAGCCTACATGTCAACCAGATTAATAATAGCCCAGACTCTGGCCAGGAACCCCAGAATCCAAAGATGAGAAAGAAAATCGGTAATGAAGAAAAGGAGTGCAAATCTAATAAGTTGGTCGCAGCCTTGGAAGCGGTACAGTCTGACCTAGCATCATTAAAGGAAGCTTTTAACAGGTCGCAGATATCCGGTAAAGATGCATCCAAACAAGATCCGGATCAGCGGAACCAGTACAAGAGAAAGAGTACTTTGTGTAAGAAATGTCAAGAGTCAGGTGAGGAGAAATGCATTCATTGTTACAAGTGTGGTTCGACAGAACATTTCGCTAGGGGGTGTAAAAAGCCCCAGGGAAACGAAAGGAGCCTACGCCCGGGGGACAGAGAGTAGCCGAACAAACTCATTTGTCCCATGCCTGTGCATTCTGTAAAAGAAAAGAGACTGATATACTGTTTAAACAATGTAGTAAATGCAACTTTTTCCAGTATTGTTCAAAAGTATGTCAAGAAAAACACTGGGGTGAACATAAATTCTTGTGCAAGGAACTATCACACTTAAATGAACAAAACATAAATAGCGAAGTTAAAAAAGGAACATACGTATGTCATTTGTCGCCTAAAGAAGGCGCAACTGTAGCTCGGTTAATTGGGAAAAAATGCACTGTTAAATGTTTCCTGAATGGGATGGAGTCAACCGCTCTTTGGGATACTGGAGCACAGATATCCATAGTTTCTCATGATTGGGTCTTGAAGAACTTGCCTAAAGCTGAATTGCGTACTGTAGAGTCCCTTCTTGGGGCGAGTGAGCTAGATCTAAAAGCAGCCAATGGGACAGCCCTACCATATGATGGATGGATTGACATAAATTTTAAATTAATGGGGACAAATCATGATTATGGGTTTAAAGTACCTTTCTTGGTTGCAAAGAATGTATTGGACGAACCTATCATTGGGTATAATGTTATTGAAGGAGTCACCCAAAACTCTACCAGTGACACAGAACAACCACTTTATCTAGATGCACTGTCCTCAAGCATGGTTGGGGTGGAACGGGATAGGGCCGAAGCCCTTGTAGAGTTCCTAAAGGCTGAGAGGCCAACTGAGCTATCTGTACTTAAAACTACGAAAATGGACATAGTTATTCCACCTGCCCAATCAGTCAGAGTTTCCTGCCATGTTAATGTTGGTCCTATCGAAGACAGGATACCTGTGTTGTTCGAACCAAACCCAGAATGGCCATGGTCTGATGGTCGTGAAGTTCCAGAGACACTGACAGCGATTTCCAGAGGATCACGAGTTAATATCCAAGTAAATAACCCCACTAGACACCCAATTGTTTTGCGAAAGAGAACAGTGTTACGTAGAATCCAATTGGTCAGGTCCATAACTCCCCTGGAGGTGAAACAAGTTCAACAGACAAAGGTAAAAGAAAGTGGATATTTTGGTGAAAAAACTAAAGTGGACATTGCCAGTGCTGTGAGTACCAAAGAGAGACAGGATTGTCCAGAAACTACCAATGAAGGTGCATTTAATTACGTTCCAAATGTTGACCTTGAAGGACTTTCAAATGAACAAAAATTAATAGAAAAGATGTTACAAGAGGAGTCTGAATCATTCTCGAAAGCAGGGGAAATAGGGAACGCTGAAGGGTTACAAATGAATATCAATCTTACGGACTCGATCCCAGTACAAAAGACTTATACAGCTGTGCCGCGACCCCTTTACCCTGAAGTTAAACAATATGTAGAAGATCTTTTAAATAGGGGGTGGGTACGGAGGTCAGGATCAGCCTATTCTCCACCAGTTGTCTGCGTGCGAAAGAAAGATGGGACACTTAGACTATGTGTTGATTATAGACAGCTAAACCAGAAAACAGTCCCAGATCGACATCCCTTGCCTCGAGTTCAGGCTACATTGGAGAGTCTTGGCGGAAATAATTGGTTTTCAATGTTAGACCAAGGCAAAGCCTATCACCAAGGCTATATAAGCCCTGAGAGTCGGCACAAAACAGCATTCATTACTCCGTGGGGACTATTCGAATGGGTGCGCATCCCATTCGGTCTGATGAACGCCCCTGGAGAATTTCAGCGATTCATGGAAGGCTGTCTGCACGATTTGAGGGATGAAATTTGCATCCCATACCTGGATGATGTGATTGTTTTCAGCAAGTCATTCGAAGAACATGTCGATCACGTTCGTCAAGTACTACAACGACTTCGAGCTAACGGAATAAAACTGAAACCAGAAAAGTGCAAGCTTTTTCAGAGAGAAGTGAACTATCTCGGACAGATTGTCTCGTCAGAAGGTTATAGACCAGACCCCTCGAAAGTTAACGCTGTGACAGCCTTAAAAGACTCTGTGCCAACGAATGTAGGAGAAAACTGCTTGGTCTTGTTGGGTATTATCGAAGATACATTCCTGACTTTGCCTGGGCTGCTCGACCTTTGTTTGACTTGTTACAAGGCCTACAAACCGATCAGACCAAGCCCGCTAATAGAGGAGATAAAACCAGTTGTATGGCAGAAACAACATTAAAACCAGTTGTATGGCAGAAACAACATGAAAATGCCCTTAAAGAATTGTTAGAACATTTAGTAAGCCCACCAATCATGGGGTACCCCGACTACAATCAACCATTTATATTACACACGGACGCTTCGTTAGAATGATTAGGGGCGGTGTTATACAAGAAACAAAATGGTCAGATTCGCGTAATGGGATATGGGTCAAGATCCCTTAGCCAAGCAGAAAAGAAGTACCATTCTGGGAAACTGGAGTTTCTAGCCCTTAAGTCAGTGAAGTGGGCAGTCTGCGAACATTTCCGTGACCATCTTTATTATGCCTCTCATTTCACTGTGTACACTGATAACAACCCACTTACGTATGTGTTGACAACAGCCAGGTTGAACGCAACGGGTCACCGATGACACCGATGATGGTCACCGATGCTGAGTTAGCGGACTTCACGTTCAACATAAAATACAGACCAGGACGTTCAAACGGAGATGCGGATGCACTCTCGCGAATGCCGCTGGATTTTACGACTTATATGAAAGGATGTACTGAGGATCTGACCCTAGACCAGGTCCAGGCAAGCATTGATGGGATTGGGGCGCAATGTCACGGTGACACTGTTTGGATCTCTGCACTTACGCAAGACGAAGATCTCTTGGAGACTGACAGTGAATTTCTCGCAGAAGACCAACCTGCCATCGCGAAAGCTACAATCCTTCAGGCCCAGAAGCAAGACCAAACAATTGGCAGAGTACTAGTTTTCAAGTTGGAGGGACGACGTCGGTCACATGAAGATTGCAAACGAGAACTACCTGGTAGAAAAGCATTGCTACGACAATGGCACAAGCTAAAAATTGGAAAAGACGGTTTACTGCGACGAGAAAGTGGACCCTATAAACAATTAGTATTGCCAGGAAAGTTCCATCGAACAATTTTCAAGGAACTTCATCAAGAGATGGGGCACTTGGGAGCAAAAAGGGTGGTGCAGCTAGCCAGGGAGCGGTTCTACTGGCCTAACATAGAAAAGGACATCACCCATTTCGTGACAAATGTTTGCGGATGTTTAAAACAACGGAAACCTACTTTGCAAGCCCGTGCATCGCTCTGCAATATAGAAACCTCGTCACCATTCGAACTTGTCTCGATTGACTATATGCACCAAGAGAAAAGCTCCGGTGGCTATGAATATATACTGGTCATCGTAGACTATTTTACCCGTTTTTCCCAAGCATACGAGACCAAGAACAAGTCGAGTACAACGGCCGCTGAAAAACTGTACAATGACTTTGTACTCCGTTTTGACTTCCCAGCAAAAATTTTGCATGATTAAGGCAGAGAATTCGAAAATAAACTGTTCCATCAGCTAGAGAAACTAAGTGGAGTTCAACGAATCAGAACTACTCCCTACCATCCTCAAACGAATGGGAAAGCTGAACGGTTCAACAGAACATTGTTGTCCATGTTGCGAACCTTACCCGAAGATAGAAAGAGCAAATGGAAGGACTCAGTAAACAAAGTGGTACATGCATATAATTGCACTGTTAACGACGCCACCGGGTATTCACCGTTCTTGTTACTGTTTGGTCGACCACCCAGACTACCCGTGGACCTTATGTTTGGAACATCACCCACTACATCGAAAGGAAACCACACTGAGTATGTGAAAAGATGGAAGGGTGCCATGAAAGATGCCTACGCGAAAGCCATAAGCAACGCCAGTAAAGCTGCATCTGCAGGAAAGTCGAACTACGACCGTAAAGTCCGTTTGACAGTATTGGAGCCAGGTGATCGTGTACTGGTCCGCAACCTTACTGAGCGTGGGGTCCCGGAAAGCTGAGATCGTACTGGGAGAACCAAATATACCAAGTAGTGGAACAAAAAGGCGAGCTACCTATATTTGTTGTCAAACCAGAACACCTCCTTCGTGCCAAAGGACGGTCCCGAGTATACTTCACAGAAACCTTCTACTCCCTTGTGACTTTTTACCACCAGATGCCCCTGGAGACGTCCAACAGCAACAGAGAAAGAGAAATCACGAACGACAGGCCAACACTCGTATATCTGACTATGACGATAGCGAAAGCGATGACGAGGGTGAATATTAGGGATTTTCTCCTCCAGAAATTCGGACGGCGAATCCGACAGCAACCGACAAATCGAGTGTGCCTAGTTTGAAAGCACCAGATACAACCATGACGCGAGGGGATCAAGAACCACCTGCTAATGCACGAATCCATGAAGATGCCGAAGCAGCTGACACAGACCCTCCTCCAGCAGCGCCCGAGATAGAACCTGAAAGACTTGTGGAAATACCACAAGATATTCCTCAGCGTCCTGCACGGAACCGTCGTCCACCCTCAACATTGAACTACGCTTCGCTGGGTAACCCGTATGTGTCATGCATGCAAACCACGGATCCAAGCGTATTTGTCCCACCAATGATGCCCTGGCCCCCTCCCCTTTGCCACCCTTTTCCCTGTTGGACTAACCCTGTATACCACCACCCAAGTATCATGTACTATGGGACACCGTATCTGTCATTTTAGAAAGAAAAACGGTGACGATCCCTTTATATTATGTTAACGAATGAACAATATAAATTTAAAGATATGTTACACAAAAAGAAGAAGAAAAAAACAACTTGTTAAGTTTTTCTACGGATTAGCATAAAGAAGATAAATGAATTATCTTGTTATTAAGTCTTAATAGTGAAAGGCAATAAGGACGTAAACAGATTGATCACCCTAGTATAAAGCAGATATTTAAATTATAACGTCTTGGCGGACATTTTAAGTGGGAGAGAATGTGAGAGTTACTGACCCTACCTTGCACCGGTTATAGGATGGTGTCACGTGACGTCAAACTGTGAACACGTTGTTCAGAAGTGCGAAGGAAAATTGTAAAAACTTTCAAGTTGAAATAACAAAAAATATTAATAATTTATCGTTGTTTTCTTTAATCGTTTGATCATTTAGCATCTGTAACATTATACATGCTGGTCTTTGTACGTATAGAGAAGAATTCAATGTGCACGATGCACTTGAAGATGTTAGTATTGAAAACACAAACAAAAGAACATATTGATTTATTTTCACATATTTATTTATTTCAACCATTGAACAAGCATATATATATATTGTTCTTCTAATTTTAATAAACTATTGATTTATCGAGAACTTTCTCCACAGAATACGTTTACATTATTTGGCTTACACGTAGGGTTGAATTTGCAAAACACTGGTGGGACACTAAAAGGATCAGATGCAATGGAGATAAAGGCTTTCTTACGATCATCTTGCACATCAGCTCTATTGCAGTCGCCAACATAATAGTATGAAGCTGACATCTTTATGGAGGAGCTGGAACTCGCTCTTTCTACAAAAGAAAATTACAGTATAGTTGATGCTGAGAGTAATTGATGCTGCTAGTTTTCTATTATAATTTATTAAAAATATAATATATTTAATATTTACTGTTCAGTATATTGCGTTGCATTAATTATCTGCAGTTAATTTGTAACGTCATCCTACCTGCACAGTCTGGCCAAGGAAAAGTTCCAGACCCAAACGGAGGAAATGAATTCCAACTTCCACGAGAACAGTAGTAAAGCAGAGATGGGCGAAAAGCGAACTCAAAACCTTCCCGACAATAAACCTGACACTGCCTTTGCCCGCTACGATCAGGAAGGCAAGCTAGAGCACCATTCTTGGGTGGTTCGTGTCTGGGACAAGTCGTCACTAAAGCGATATAAAAAATAGATTAAAAATATTAAACACTTGTGCACGTTTTATAAGTAACTATATAAATGAGTTGCCATGTTTTAGTGATATAATTGATCGCCCCGTCTTTTTAAATTTTTACGTTCATTTTCATTTTTAACACAATAATTATATAAATGATTAAAGGAATATAGTAAACATGACACGTTGCAATCGGAGACGAATAACGTATACAGCTATTTCAATTAAGGTTGTCCACGAGCAAAGCGGAAAAGTCGAATACGAGCGCGAAAGGCTGCTGGGAATCGCTAACAAATTAATGAATTTTCAAAGCGGTTCCCAGCAGCCTTTCACGCTCGTATTCGACTTTTCCGCTTTGCTCGTGGACAACCTTAATTGAAATAGCTGTATACAGAATTATATAAATTGTACTTCTTTTCTAATTCGATAAATAAAAGTATTAGCCTAAAAATTTAATGCTATATTTTTACATGGCATTGCATGTATTGCAACATTTAGGGCAATTAATTTACAAAACTAACTATAGAATTTAAGACTTAATGCATTGAATTTCTTGAAACCAGTTTTACAGGATAGATTTGTGGTCTTGATCTCTGCATGTGTGACATGTTCTAGTCGAAATCGCGGTTTCCTCATTCAGTAAGAGATTTAGTATAGGTCAACCATTGTCATGCACTGAACTAGAAGTAAACTGAAACGCTATCGACATCTGTACCCCGAAATTAATCAATCGTTGAATCATCAGTATTAGCTTCATTGACAATATGGCGACGTAATTTCCTTCACTGCAAAAAATCCCTGAGTATTTTGACTCGTGCAAAAACTTGAGTAAAATAATGCCCCCACAGTGACTCAAAATTTTGAGTAAATTTACTCAAATTTATGAGCAAATTTACTCAATCTTTTAATAAAGTTTCAAATTTATTCAATTTTGAAGTAAAAATTTATACTTTATTCGAAAAATTGAGTAAATTTGCTCATAAAGTTGAGTATAATTGTACTCATTGTCACTGGGTGCATTATTTTACTCACGTTTTCGAGTCAAGATTTATTTCAGTGTTGTTGGTATAAATTTAACCATACAAAATTCACTTAAAGCCTCTCTCGATCGACGAATTTTCATGAGGAGTCTTGTCCAATACACGTGTAGTTGTGTTGCTTTGGAGTGCCTGAATCGAATATACTCATACCGAAATGACTAGTCATATCAAGACTTATACTAAACCTGTGAATAATTAATATGCGCTCCCAAGTACTGAAACTCTTTCTCGCTCAACTTGCTCTCGACAGTCACAACTAATCCAAAATAATGTTATTGAAATTTCTTAATTTATTACCACTGCCAACGACCATCGTTTAAGATTTCTTTCCACATGCACCATCTCAAAATGTCCTCCCTCACTTAATGAGGCTTTTACCCTGTTCTACCCTACCTGGATCCCCCGATCGGCCTGTATTTTTGTACTCCTGTTAATTCCATAAAGCTATTGTTCGGTTAAATTAAATAAGATGGTATAACCATAAAGGCTTATTTATAGAATAGTTGAAATTTAGTAGACTTATAGAACTCATACTCACTTTTCAAATTTATTTCGAACTTGCATGACGTGTTTTTGTTTCCAGCCTCATCAGTTGCCACGAACATAACCTGACCGATAAAAGAATTAAAGTAAGATCAAACGTTATTAATTAACAATTATTGATTTGTGTTATCTGTAAAGCTACTGAAACTGAAATTAGCTGAGGTGCGGACCATTAGAAAAGTGATGGGGGGTAGGGATTTCAGCTTGCACGAATTTTTCTTTGCTTTCCCTTTTTGCACGAATTTTTGCATCGCATAAATAGCGTTGTTATATAGCTAGTGTCAAAGTTCAATATTTCTGTTTGCCGATTGGTCGGAACCGTATCGCGTACCTCGGGAAAACAGTGTGTTTTGTGGCCCCTCAACGGCAGTCTTGGGTCCACAAAACACACTGTTTCCCTCGGTCTCAGTAAATAAGTGATAATTACATCATGGCGTGCGATAATACAAACTTCGTGTAGACAGATTGCTTATACTGAAGAACATTTATAGTACTACGCAAAACCACAATTCTCAAAGGGATGGGAACATTCTTTCAGCTTTTACCTTGTGTACTTTTCTTCGATGTTATAGTAAATGGAATAGAAAAGGAGGTGGCTAACAATGTGGAATAAAAATATAAGTCTAAACTAAAGCAACAATTTGAAATAGAACGTGCATATTAATGACATAGTTGCGAAAGCAAACAAGAGAATGTACTACAACATCCCTGTAAATGACTTGAAATCCTTTTATATACCACATCCATTAAACCTATATTAGATTACTGAGTACACGCGTATTTTATTACGTGTTGCCGCGAATATTTTGTAAAAAGGTCAAAAAGGGAAATATCAATTATTTGAGCATTTTCTGACTAAAAACTGCTTTACAAACACTTGAAATCGAACGGCGACATGTACTTCATCAATAAATCTGCACAGACATTTTTAGTAAAATAGAAGAGGAAGAAAACATTAATCCTTTAAATTGGTACGGTAACATAATGTAAGATTTATACTATAAGTATATAATATAATTATAGTAGTAAGTTTCTAATTTCCAATACAACAGGCTCATTTTCCAGCGGCTTTCCGATGACAAAAAACCTTACAATAGGTGTAGCATTAAACTTACTTGAACTTTTCCTGGTACCCGAAATCGGGTACCAGCTGGTCGACTTGACAATACGCGGGGATCCTTTCCAGAATTGTCCTTGAAAATTGGACTTTCCCAGTCAACTATTTCATAATCATTGGTCGACTCGATCGTCATATCTGTTGGACATCGGATGAAGTACGGAGCTTCTCTATCTGAAATAAACAATACAGTGGACTTGCTCAATCTGGATCAATTCTGGATCACGGCAAAAATTAGCAATAGCAATACACACACACACACACACATATATGTATATATATATATATATATATATATATATATATATATATATATATATATATATATATATATATATATATATATATATATATATATATATATATATATATATATATATATATATATATATATATATATATATATATATATGCAACAAACTTGGCTATAGAATGTATTTGTTGCAATCGCATTTTCCAAGGTCCAAATTGCAAAGTGGTTAAAGCATGCTCTACGAGCAGAAGATTGGAAGCTCGAGACTCCAATTCCTTGTTTCAATTCCACTTAAATTAAGGTGGCTCGATACTGTCTTTTAAAAATGGAAAATTTGCCAATTAGATGCAATTTCTAGCACAGACCTCTTCTATACCACAGAGGCAGAAAAGAATTTGAACATGCCAGAAAAATCAGAAACAGCATATATGCGTGCTCACTGATTTACAAGTTATAACATCACTCTATATTGCTTTGAAATTGTATCAACAAAAATTGTATCGAAGAAAGCTCATTGACTGCAGTACAAAAGAAAAATTTTAATGAACACATTCAAGTACTTCCAAATAAGTCTGAAGGCTGATCGACGTCATTAGCGCAGGCTATATTTACAAAGTTGTGGAAATTTACAGTTCAGTGGACATTTCAAAATTGTTTATTTTTTGGATACACCTGCAGAAGAGAAGTAATCAATTTAATAATCTAGAAACGGATAATTTGCTTACCTTTGATCATGATCCGAACTTCGCAAGTACTTTTGAGACCAGCTTTGTCTTCTGCAATATACCTGAATATGTGAGTACCGATATTTAATTCTCTTTCTGTATATAATGTAACTGCCCCAAGGTTCTTGTTATTTCCCATTAAAGAGTTGTCAGTGTAGGACGGAATTGCCCATTTAGCTTTGCCAGTACGAAGGCGATAGGTTGTATTGAACACGAGATACTTCCATCTACAATTCGTATTCGTGAACTTTGGTGGGGAAACATCTAAAACGCATGTGTAATAAGACTAATAAGTTCAAACAAGCCAAAACTTTAAATAGAGCAAGTCTTCAGTTTCGTTGGTTTTACTCTAGTCTCCTCTGTGCTCTAGTAGAGCGGGATCGTCAAGCTGGTAAGAGTTCAAACATTCTATGCATTTCCTCGCTTTGTTTATTAAGTTGTTTAGTTGAAATCTCTTTTTGTTTCATTAAGTAAAAATCGTTTTCTTCGAGTTTTTCTTCCAAACATACTGTAGATAATATCATTTTGATTCTCCCGTGACCGTGTGTTTATATGATTGTTTAGATTGGTCAATCTAAACAAGCTTATAAACACACGGTTACGGGAGAACTAAAATTTTCTGCTGAATTAAAAAGGGATATATTAAAATTATTTTCTTTATTGTCTTTTTTTAATTTCGAAAGAATATTCAATCGAAATTTCTGTTTTCTTTAGGTAATAGCAGCAAGCAGAACCTATTTTAATAGGTTTAAAAATCTTTAGCACGTAAAAAAATTACTAAATTAAAATTTAATTAAAAATTAAATTAAAATTAATTAAAATTTAATTTAATTAAAAATAAATTAAATTTAATAATTAATAGTAAAAAAATAATAAATAAATAATAAAAAATAATATAATTAATAATAATATAATAAATAATATTAATATATTTATATTATGTTAATTAATTAGTATATTATGTTTAATAATTTAATTTATTTAAAATAAATTTAATTTAATTTTAATTAATTTAATTTAATTAAAATTTTATTTTAATTAAATTACTAGATTCTTAAATTTTTAAGATTTTTTAAAAGTCTTTAGCACGCTGTAATCCCCGATCAGGAATCGGTACTTTCGGGAGATGCATGTGGGTCAGTTTACCTCAAGGACCTTCTATACTGATTTTATCTCGAGGGTATTCAACGTTGAGTTGTGAAATTTATTCTGCAGGACTGTGAAACTTCCTACCCCTGGTCTCTTGAAACAGCTAAATCTAATTCCTCTTTCTTACGGGCATGAAATTAAGAATACTGATCATCTTCTATAAATGTAAAACTGGGATGTATGATCTTGACATTCAACAGTTTTTCAACCAACCGCTACATGATCATTCCACTTATTCCACTCGTTAATTCCTTTGTTTAAATCTATGTAAAGTCTCTTTAATTTAGAAGCTCGTACTTCATATAGAAGCTCGTACTTCACGGATAAAATTGGTACCCGTACCGTAGTCCAAGAACCAAAAAGTGGTACGGTACCAAAAATTGAGCGTAGTGTAAACAGGGCTTAGCTAAATAGGTAGTCCAAGAACCAAAAAAGCGGTACGGGTACCAATTTTATCCGTGCCGTACCAAAAATTGAGCGTAGTGTAAACGGGGCTTAAGTTGAACAATAAATACTTTTGATGTAGACCGTCCCAGAACTTGGAAAACTTTGCACATTATAAGTGTCGTTCGTTGCAAATAAATTGTTGTTCGTAAATGTTAGTTCGATATTGTAATTTTCGTGTACTCTTGTATGTAAATTAATGTTAAATGTTATGAAACGTTTTGGTGGGACTCAATTATAGGGACTTTTAAATTAAGTAAAATTAAAATCTGTTGTCTAAAAACAACAAAAAATTTTTTTAAAAAACAAAATTTTTTTTCAACAAAATTTTTTTTCCTAAAATCTGTTGTCTTTACCATCAGTCTTTGGATTGTAAAGTAAATAAATAAGAATTAGATGTTGAAGCCTGAATGATATTTTGTAGGTGGAAATTTCGAGTGTATGTTATATATATTTTTAGACCTATAAATCAGCAGCAGTTTTTAGTGGATTAGAACACATGGACATTTAATAGTCATTTATTATTACCTTTGCATGCATCATCTTTATCACTCCATGTGCCATCAACGCGACAGTATCGTGAAAACGTGCGATATCCATTACTTGAGGTATATCCTCTTGGGCACTCAAAACGACAATATGAATAAGCTTGCATACGTTGGGTTAGACACCTCTTATCATGAACAGAAGCATGCTGCACCGTTCTTAACGGTGGGCAAGTGATAGCTATATTGTTAAAAATACAATGACAGTCATTAATTCTGTCACAGCAAAAAATACCGGGTGGGCCCAAAAAGAAGGTACTCCTCTTTGATCCAGTATAACTTAAATTATTATTATTATACTTAAACAAAAAGCATTTAATTCAGTATTGTCTAACTTGCCGAGATATTTGGGATTGAAAATAAGTAAACATTTTCAAAATTGTGGTGTTTTACAATCATGTGTTATAAATCCAGTTTGGTGTGTGTTTTATATCAAGTAGGGAGAGGATAGATTTTTATCAGTTCATGACACCAGGGGGGGGGGGGTTACGCATAGTTTATCCTGAGTGGGGGGGGGTTAACGTTGTGTACAATATTTTGTCAGGGAGCAGCACATAGCGCAGTGAAAAATACTTAAAAAATGTCACCTGTATGATAAATCCAAGATGGCGGATCAATCGGGCAAAAAACCAAGAGCTAGTATCACAGAGTAGATAATACATACAGAGACGTAACTGACCGTTGTAAACACTGCGGAAGATTACGTTATCATGTACCCACTTTTTTTCAGGCGATCAGGCGAAAAATGATCAACTGCGCGTGCTCAGCAAGTTTAAAGTGAGTCGTCATCAGGTCGTCATCCAATCAGATGCATGCATCTAGTAACTTGCCGAGCATGCGCACAAAAAAAGTGGGTACACTAGTTACGTCTCTGTATGTCTCTACTCTGTGCTAGTATTACAAAATCAAGTGTTTTTTAACTTTTTTGGTGGTTTTACTACATCGAATCCCGTTCGATCTGTCATCAGACTTTATTGGCAAAACTATCCATTGCAAATTTTTCAGCATGAGCTCCACCTTTGAATTTACTATATGAGTAAATTCTTAAACACGTCCGAATTTATCATTATGTTAAATTCGCGGCAAATTTTGAATTTATCATAATAATAAATTCGCGGCACCTAACCCTAACCCCAACCCTAACCCCTAACCCACAGAATAGATATAGGGCCCTAACCACTAACCCCTAACCCTAACTTTTTTAACTTTTTAAATTTTTTTAACTTTTTTAAAAATCTAACTTTTTAAACTCTTCTTGCTTTTCAAAACTCTTTTAAAACTTTTTTAAAAACTATTTCTCCGGAAAACTTGAAAAACTACCCACCCACGCGCGGCCAGCCTCCCTTTTAATGCCATTACATTTATAACAAGAAATCTTGTGTAATGCTTGTGGTTTTATGATTAAAGGCCCTGTTACACGGTGCAATTTTTCATGCAACTTGTCTCGCAATGGCGTTGCGAGACAAGTTGCACGAGTCATTGCACCGTTTAACTATGAGGTGCCGTTACCGCCAAAATTCAGAGTGCTTATTTTTGAAAATGCAGACATTATTTTTGAAAATGCAGACATTATTTTTGAAAATGCAGACTTTATTTTTGAAAATGCAGACATTATTT